ACTTTATGCAACTTTTCACAAGCTTGACGCACGTTCTTCCCTTTATGGAAGTAAAACAGTAAAATATGGCAAAAATTGCACAGTTTGGTCTTCCATCTTCAACTTGTTGTAAAATCTCCAAAACTTAACCAAATCGCTCAATTTTTTTTTTTAGAATGAAGCTAGAACTGTCAGCTGTCAAATGACATAGCAATAACATAGATGCAAATAACTCTAGTACTTCCAAAAATGAATAGTTCCATCTGTCGCAAACATGCATCATGACTTTTCCGACAACCCAATTAAAAACGTTAACTGACAGTCTGTTATGGGTCGGGCCCTGAGCTAGGTGCTTTATATGTTTAGCCAGTGCAGTATTTATAACAGCCATGCAAAGTAGGCGTTATCTGCATTCACATATGGAATGGTCAGTACCTTCCCCAAAGTTATAAAACTAATCACTCACAAAATCAGTACTTTTTCTCATGCCTCTTGATACAAAGTTTGTACTTTCTTCAGACCATCTTGTGGGTGTTCAGTACTTCAGCTGATTATATTATGTTTAGCAATAACTGGAAAAACCTTCAGTTTAAAGAGATGCTGAATTTTCACCAACTGCATCTTTCAGGGCAAGCGACTTGGTAATGAAGGTGGATGCTCTCCTGTCAACTCAACCAAAAGGAGATGCAAGAATCGAGTACCAGTTTTTCGAAGACAGACACAGGTATAGAAATAATGTTGAATTTGTGTGTATTCATGAATATAAGACTTTTTTTAATGAACAAGTTCAATGTCTTATTATTAAACTGTTTCTTGTTTTCCTGCAAAGCTGTTGCTTCACTGTATTAAAAGTAGCACAAGCACATGCGGTATTTTGCAAATTAAGATAGTAGGGTCCATCATCTGACACAGTACAGCTAACAAAAACTCTTCTCCACTGCCAGACATTTCCAAAGAGAAGGTCATTATGTATTTTGACTCAAATCCAGAGATGGGTGTAAGCAAGTTACAGTATTATATAGGGTTTAAGATAACAATGTTATCCTGAATTACCTAATTTTTATAACTAGATTTTACCACAGATAATTTCAGGAATTCTGAATATTACAATGTTGCCTAGTGTACAAATCACAAGGTATTGAGAAAAAGATGCATATTGTGTTTATCTTCAAACATTAGAAAGTTAAGGCTTATTTTCTTCCAATAGCTTTGTTGTAAGTACTGTACTTTGCCGTGTATAAAGCACACTTTTTTGCCCAAATTTGTGAGGGAAAATAAGGATGCGCATTATACATGAGAAGTACTAATTCTGTATCTGTATAAGTGTTTTTAATTCTTTTATGTGTGTTTATGAGTTAAAAATGTAGCTCCAGGAATCAATAACAATATTCCTATGCAAAATAGTACTCTGGAATATGATAATCGGTTTTGTTGAACTTAGGACAAACTTGCAAGGACGAAGAGTTCTTGGCCTTCTATGATATGTAAATATCGTAAATTTCTTTCCAGTACATAAAATTTCTTGTACCATAAAATGTTAAAAAATAGAGGATAAAGTTCCTTTATAATACAAAAAATGAGTACCTAAATGTAAACAAATAAAAATTTGAATTAAAAAATTAAAACGAATGTTTTTTTCCCTGAAAGTTTGAGCCAAAAACATGGGTGCACATTATACACGGGAGCGCATTATACCCAGCAAAATATGGTAGTTTCTTTTTCCATTGGTATTACTAAAAGTTACTATTTTAAATCTTCTATCCACCACAAATTTAAGACAACTATGCTAGATTAAGGTGTGTCATACTACTTTATTCAGGGGGTTCCATTTTCACTCCTCAGTAGAGTTTATGTATTTCTCACACGCTCCTTCACTCATTATCTCCTCTAGTTCTGAAGGGTTACTCAGTGTCATTTTGAGCAGCCAGCTATCTTCATAACAAGATCTGTTGACAAGTCCTGGGTTTTCTGCAAGAGCTTCATTCATTTAAGTTAGTTCTGATAGAGGAGAATGGAGTTCGCTAGTGGATTTCATACTTTTCAAAGCACCGAACTCATCTTGTTTGTTCAGTTTTGCCCCAACCTCAGGTAGACTACAGTAAACAACATCTCCCAAAACTTCCTGTGCAAAATTGCTGAGTCCCATTGTTTCAACACCATGTTTTGTTACCCATTCATGTTTCTCTGTGAATTTACACACCAAGAGGAGAGTGGGGCCAGGGCCCAGCGTCCTGACAGTATCTGCCCTTAGCCTTCAGGGCCACGGGCGGGCTCATGGAGAGCTCTAAGGTAGGGTGCACCCACACCTTCACCCCACATCCACACCCCACACCCACACCACACCACACCTCGCACCCACACCCCGCATCCTTCACCAGCACCCCGCATCCTGCATGCACACCCACACCCCGCACCCTGCACTCCACACCCTATACCCACATCCCGCATCTGCACCCCACCCTGCACTCCACACTTCACACCTGCTCTCCCCCTGTACCCCACACTATATCCCACACCCTGCATCAGCATCCACACTCCACACTTGTACCCCACATCCACACCCCACACCCCCTCCATACCTGCCCGGCCCTAGCACCCAACACCACACCCCACACCTGCACCCCATAGCCTGTACCGACATCCACACCACACACCCTATACCCGCATCCCGTACCCCAGCACTTGCACCCTGCACCCCTGCACCCCACACCCTGCACCCTCACCCCCTGCACCCCACACCCGGCTTGCTCTGTGCTGCCCACAGCACCATCTTGAATATTAAACTCTTAAGGTCATCTTTACCTCAGATCCTTTATTTTTTCATATAAAGTGTGAATGTAAGTTTTCATATGAATGGAAAATGTGTCTGGTGTGCAGCTTTCATGTGTATTTATATTCACATGTAAAATTCGTATATAGATTTCAGTTACGTAAAAGTTGACATTTATTTCTAAATACATCTGAAATAGTTTGAGTGCACCGTTTTAGAAAGAAAAGCGTTTAAACGAAGCAGATCAGTTGTAATTTTGATACTCAAAAATAAACAGAATTTGTTAGAGCACTTGTCTCGTTCATCTTTTATTGAAAAGTGTTTTGTTTTCAGTAAAATAAAAATAAGTTTAGCATTATGAGGAAGTACTTGCCTTATGTTTTCCAATTTTTATTTTGAAAAGTTTAAAACCTAGAGAATAGTTGAAAGACTGTTATAGTGAACACCCAAATATGTTTAACCCAGATTCACCAGTTGTTAACAAATGCCACATTTATCTGTCATCTCTGTGTGTGTATAGTCCATGTAATGTATATAGTGCATATAAAAAACATACGCACACTCACATACTTTCTGAACCATTTGAAACTACATTATCACACATCATGCCTGACTTCTTCAGTGTATGTCTCCCCAGTATGAGTAGTTTCTCCACAGCACCTGTTAGCATACCTCAGCAATTTAACCTTGACAACAGTAATACTAAATCATACCAGTCTATTTTCAAATTTGTAGTGCCCTAGTAATGAATGACCTTTTACAGCTATTTTGTCATTTTGTTTTGTTCCAGATCACAAATTGCAGTTAGTAGTTATGTTTCTTTAGTCTCTTTTAATCTAGAACAATTCCCTGCTTTTCTTTTCTGTCTTGTCTTTTATGACATTGACTTTTTCAAGAGTCCAGGCCAATAGTCTTGTAGAATGCTTCACAGTCTGGGTTGTTTCCTCACGATTGGACTTAATATTACCTTGTCTTTAGGAGTAACCCCTACAATTGAGGTATGTAGCCCTGGCCTGACCAGGTACGTAGACATCTTTACTGCGCCTCAGAATCACCAGGGAGGCTTTAGAGACAGAAACCTGTATCCTGCTCCTCCATGAGTCTGGTTTAATTCGTCTGGAGTGGATTGAATTTTGGCTTAGTTGACTCGTGCTTTCTCACACCACCCCTTGTGGAGGTCAAATTGAACAGACTATTTGACAATTTCAGGCTAGAATGGAGACCCTCTCCTTTTTCACTGGCTTGTCTCCTGATGTCTTACGTTGCCAGTGAGTGGAAACTTCTGAGGCTCCTTGCTAATAACCCTAGTTGGATTTTGCCCATTAACACCCATCTTCTCATCACTCTGTATATTTTCAGGAAGTAACTCATTATCTAGTTACTGCCACAGGAAACATTTCTTAATTGACCTGACATTTTGTTTACCTTTCGTGGCCAAGATAGTGAATCCTGAGCAAGAACTCTTTCCTTTCTAGAACATCATTTTCTTCATGAGTCTTATATAAAAATATCCTAACTACAAATTCTAGTATGATAAAAGTTATAATTAGAGAAATTTTTCTTGGGGTTGTGTTGAGTGTTTTATTTAAATCAGAAAGGTCTTATTTTTGCAAGACACAAAAAGGTCTGATTTATCAGTTTTGTGTACCCTTGCCCTAAAAGAGTGGTCCCTGGAACAGCAACGGGGCACCGTCTGAGAGATGGTTGGAAATTCAGAGTCTGGCCCAACCCACACTTCCTGAATCAGCATCTCCACTGTAATGAGGTCCCCTCCCCCCAGGTGACTCCTGTACATGAAGATTGGTGAAGCTCTGTATATTTGGACATTTGCTGTACTCACTTCACAAAAATGTCCACGAACCCCAAATCTTGTTCCTTTGTCTTTCACTCTTGGCCTTATTCTGGTCTTTTCTCTGACCAATACAGCGAGTACATTTAAACATGATACACATATATGAATTTATATTGTTCTCCATTTCCTTCCAATATTCCTCTTTTCTTGGTTTTTGTCTTTGCCCTCTTTTTTCTGTCATAAAAATTGTGGGTGGTTAAAAGACCTCACAGGGTCAGTTTCTGGGTGTGCCTATTGTGGATCACCTAGAACACTGACTGGCTCAGAACATGACATGTCAAACAGGGCTCTACCCCAAAGTGCCAGGATCCTGGGATTTGGCCTGGGCAGGCTTGACTCAAATGCTGCCCCCTAGAGGACTGTTGGGACTCCACTTCCTGTTTCCAAGCTTTGTGAGACTCTATGATGCTATTGTCTAATGAGCTTTTCTTTCTAGAATTTTAGAGCCACACAGAGATCCAAATTATCTGAGGACAGTGGCTCTCATGTTTTTACTTAGAGAATTTGTTAAAATGCAGATTGCTGGACCTCCCCCCAGAGTTTCTGTTTCAGTCAGTCTGGGTCGGGGCCTGACAATTTATTTTTAGAAACTCCCAGGTAAAGCTGATGCTGCTGGTCTGGGGCCACACTTTGAGAACAGCTGTATCAGTAAAAACATTTTGTTGTATTGCAGTAATTATTGGTAACTGAAGTGTTACTATAAAAAATTGAGAGCATCTGTTGCAGTATAGTCATAAAGCTATTCCAATGTTTATTTCCAAAGCAGTTAAGATTTAACATCATCATTTAAACTGTAGTTACCCAATTTTATTAGTTATGTTCTGTTTTGTACTTTTGTTTTCATCCCACTGAGTCAATTTTCTTGCATAAAAGTAGTAGTTAGCATTGAAACCACATTAAAATATTGTTCAGAGCAAACAAAGATAAACAGTGATTTAAACAATGTTTTTGGAAAATTGGATATATTTTTAAATCCCTTAAAGTGTATTCCTTTAAAAAATGTATCAGAGGCTCCGCTCCTCTTAAGTCACCTAAGTCAATATGACTTTAGAAGGAAGCTATGCAGCTGGAAACTACATACGGGAAAATGCACGCTTTTCCCAGAAATCCTACAAGTACAAACTGAAACCGAACCAGCTGCCTTTTATCACTAATTAAAAACAGACAAAATCTGTGTAACTTAATGCTGACAAGATGTGGTGAGGTTCATTTCTTGGCCTTGTAAATTTGTTTAGTTCTTCAGGAAATGTGCTTGTCAGAACATATTAGCCACAAAAGTATTTGTATCCTGTGACTCAGTAATCTCATGCCTAGGACATCGCTGACTCTAAAGACATTTCCAAGTATGAGAAAAGCTGGATGGACAAAGTTATTTTACAGGTTGAAAGCCATCTAAATGCCCAGCAATAAGGAATAGCTTAAGTAAACTATGGCAGACTCATTTGGTCACTAGATGATTACTTCTTAGGATATTTGATATGTAACAACATGGAAAAGTTGTATGATTTTTGTGGTGGGGAAGGAAGGAAATGGAATATTCTGTGGGTACAGCTGGTCTACACAGACGTTTAAGGAAGTCTGCATGGAATATGCCACACAGTGGTTGGGTTGGGATGGTGAGATTTCATGATTATTTAGTTTCTTTTTCTCTCTTTTGAAAATCTTCTGTAATGTTCTTGAATTCCTTTTATTATGTAAAAATATCATTTTCTTTTTTCTTTTTTTCTTTCCTCATACCCTTCTTGCCAAGAAATAAAAATTGGTATAATGCTCTGTAACTGTCAAAAGCAGATAGAAGCTACACACAATTTTTGGCTACATACAATTTCAAGCTGGTTTTCCTCTTTTAACATACATCTTTCAGTCCATTTTGTGTGGACCTGAGTCATTAGAGGGTTTTGTAAACTCCGAGGTGGATGTAATCACGTAGTTGACCACCATGTAACCTTGTTCTAGATTTAAAATTTTTATTGAAATGCTGAGAGGGCTGATAGGCTATGTGGGACACCCCCCAAAACAAACAAACTTTGTTTCCTGTTTTTCTACAGATTAATGTTTTATCTTTTGATCTCTGTAGTGCAATTAAGCTGAGGCCGAAAGAAGGGGAGACGTACTTTGATGTCATGGCCATCACTGACCCTGTCACCAGAGAATCACAGAGACTTGCCCCACTGCTCTTGGTACGTACAGCTGCAGAGGCAGTTCACCTCATCTTTATCTGAAGTGGTCACATGCTCTGTGACTCTGAGAGCTTCATGGTTCCCTTAGTTTTCTTCAAAGGGCATTGGAAAATGCTGTGGGGCATTTTGGACGAGCAAATGTTTCCTTAAAGATTGGTAATGGCTCTGTAAACAGCTTCATAACCTTAGTTGGTACAGGTTTGGTTGGTTAGCTCATATAAGTAAGAAAAAAATTATCCTATTTAGAGGAAAATATCTGAATTAAATTGATTTATGCCATATTTTAATTTAACGGTGAGAGGTAAAAAAGTAAAAGAATTCTGCTTTATCATTTTCCTCTTTTATAACTAGCATTTTTTGGTAGCATGCTTTTTAGATATGTATAAGATACTGCAATTTTAAAAAAATTTAAGAGCTCTGCCTAAAACACAGTTGCCACAACTTCTTTTTTAGTTTTAATTTTTTAAAGACAAAGTTTTAATGAAGCATAATGAATTAACCTTTTTTGTGGCTATACAGAGGGTGCCAAAAAAAAATGTACGCACATTTTAAGAAAGGGAAAAACTATTAAAATTGTAAGCCTCGATATATACTGATAACAAAAGATGAATACAATTCATTTGTATACATTTTTTGGCACCCCTGGTATATATTTTCACACTGTAGTATGTAACCTGCACTGATGAATCTTTCGAATTTTCCTGTGCAGACAGCTTTGCGTTACCTGTCTGTTGCTTCACACAGACAGGGACAGCGATTTCAGCAGCCCAGTGTCCATGTTTTTGGTGACGTGATCTCTATGTGTGATTTAGATTGTGCACTAGAGTTGTGGTTTTCTGGAATTTCTTCACTGTAGACTTTCTGGCACTTATTATCTTTGTATCTTTTCTTGAGATATTAAGAAATGTTCTCTCTGTTAACTCAGTATCACGTCATAAATTTCTGAAGAGAAAATGTAAATATTTTGTCTCAAATATCAGTCATTTTCTGTATAGGAAATAATTTGTGTTTCGTCATCTGGTTTGCTCTTTCAGGTTTTAACTCAGCTGATCAACATGAATCTAAGAGTATTTATGAACTGCCAATCTAAACTTTCTGACATGCCTTTGAAAAGGTAAAAAAAGCTGTTTAAGAAATCAACAGTTGAAAAGGTGTATTAAACCCGAAAGCTGATATTCAGTGTTAAGGATCAAATGGGTTTATAGGTGGATGTTGTGTTTGAAAAGACCATTTATTGAGTGTTTCGGTTTGCTAAATTTTGCTCTAATCAGAAGTTCTGAGAACTTAATGTGGGCCTGGTAGTGTTTCGGTGGCATTAACCCAAGATCCATGCCCTTGTGCTTTTCTTCTTTCTTTTTTTGGGTCAGAACTACACAGTTCTCTAAGTTTAGAACATTTGGACCATGTAGCTGTTAAATTTACCTAGTCAGTTTAAATGTGCTGTGCTGAGGAAAGACATTTGTCTTTGCTTTTTCTTCTTAGAAAAAGAGCAGTTATTTCAAGTTGGAATATGTATGTCAGAGGAGGCTTCCTGGGGCTCCTTTGTGCTCCTTTGGGGCTCCTTGAAGAGGAGGGCAGGCTTAGATGAATATTCTCTGAGCTTTGAAATGGTCATTTATGGAAAAAGTTATATAAAATACAGTTAAAAGTCATAATGTAGCACGTGTTGGGGCTCTGGGAAATTCCTAATTTACAAATGTGCTGTGTTCTCTACGTTACATTCTAAGTGAGCTGAAACAGCATTTAGAAGGGACGAAGAGGGTTCTCAGCTCCCACCATTGTCTCTGGACAGGAGCATGTAGTGTTTCCAGGGCTTGCCTGAGAACCTATCACCATGTAGGAATTTGTTTTCAAGAGAAAAATGAGCTTTTCTCATTGAAGGGAGGCAAGTGCCCAGGAAATGCTTGCGGCCCCAATAGCAGCACCTACCACAGTGCAGGAAGGAGTGATTTCCATCTCAGTCCTGTCCCTCCTGCTCTTCTGCATCTGCAACAAGAGTGTTCATCATTCAGGAGATGTTTGGAAATACTTCCCCAGTCTGGAAGGATACTCTTCCAGATCTGGTATGTTGGAAGCTGGCTATTTACCTGTGTGGATGCCTGGAATATCAAGGACATTTTTCTTTTTCTTATTAGTTTTGGGTGTGCAAAACAACATAGTGATTAGACATTTACACACTTCACAACGTAATAATCCCAACAAGTCTACTACCCCTCTGACACCGTGCGTAGCTATTACAATACCATTGACTGTATTCTCTATGCTGTACTTTACATCCCGTGACTATATATATGTATTTTTTAATTACGGTTGACATTCAGTATTATTTTATATTAGTTTCAGGTGTACAGCACAGTGGTTAGACATTTATATAAGCTATGAAGTGATCTCCGCAATATGTCGAGTACCCATCTGCTAACATTTTTCTTTTTAATTTCAGCTTTTATCGTTACGTCTTAGAACCAGAGGTTTCGTTCACTTCAGATAATAGCTTTGCTAAGGGTCCTATAGCAAAATTTTTGGATATGCCACAGTCTCCTCTGTTCACTCTGAATTTAAACACACCTGAGAGTTGGATGGTAGAGTCTGTCAGAACGCCGTATGATTTGGATAATATTTATTTAGAAGAGGTAAGATCATTGCTTCCAAGTATCTAATCATGTGTAAAACCTATTTAAGATATAGTGGTGATGTCTCTAACTTGACAGACTGGATCACAGTCTAGGCAGGCTTTTCACACATCAATGCTCAGGCATAATTATATTTTTAAAAATAACAGCTTCATTGATATCTAATTCATGTACCATAAAATTCACTCTTTTAAAATGCACGGTTCTGTAGTTTTAATATATTCAGAGAGTTGTGCAGCCATCATCACTGTCTAACTTTAGAATGTTTCCACCACCCTAAAAGAAATTCCATATCTGTGAGCAGTGACTCACTCCCCTTCTTCCTGGCTGCCCCGATCTACTGTCTGTCTCTATGGTTTGCCTGTTCCGACATTTCAATCTAAGTAGAATCACGTAGTTTTATGACAGCCTTATTTCACTTAACATATTTTCAGGATTCACTCATGTTGTAGCATGTATTAGTACTTAATTCCTTTTTCTTGCCAGATAATACTCCATAATATGGCTATGCCACATTCCATTTATCCATTCATTGGTAGACATTTGGGTTGTTTCTGTTATACTTTTGGTTGTTAAGAATAATGCTGCTATGAACATTCATATACCGGGTTTTGGAGATATGCTTTTATTCCTCTTGGGTATATACTTAGGAGTGGGATTGCTAGAGCTGTTTTCCAAAGTGACTGTACCATTTTGCATTTGCCCTTAATGACGAATGATGTTAAGCATTTTTTCATGTGTTTATGGGCCATGTGTATACCATCTTTGGAGAAATACCTATTCAAATCTTTTGCATATTTAAAAAATTTACTTGCTTTTTTTGTTGAATTATAAGAGTTCTTTATGTATTCTGGATACAAGTCTCTTATATATCATTTGGTATATAATCTTTTCATTACATGGATTGTCTTTTCACTTCTGGATAATGTCCTTTGAAACACAAACATTTCAAATTTGATGAATATTTTATTCTTTTTATGTATTTTGTTTAATTTATGTATTTTATTCTTTTGTTTCATGTGCTGTTGGTGTTCTACCTAAGAAACCATTATTTAATCTCAAGTCACAAAAATTTGCTCCTATGTTTTCTTCTAAGACTTTCAAAGTTTTAAACTTACATTTAGGTCTTTGATTCATTTTGAGTTAATTTGTGTATATGACGTGAGGTAGGATTCCAGCTTTATTCTTTGAGTGACTATCCAGCTGTCCCAGCACCATTTGTTGGAAAGACTGTTTATTGCACATTGAACAGCCATGGCATCTTTGTTGAAGATCAGTTAACCCTAAGCGTGAAGGTTTAATTCTAGACTATCAGTTCTGCCCCATTGATCTCTCTTTCTGCCCTTAGGCCAGCACCACACTGTCTTGTGTACTGTGTAGTTTTGTAGGGAATTTTGAAATCGGTATGTGTGACTTTTCCAGTTTTGTTTTTCTTTTTCAAGATCGTTTTGGTTATTCTGGGCTCTTTGCATTTTGGAATCAGTTTGTTAATATCTGCAGCAAAGGCTGCTGGGACTTTGACAGGGATTGCATTAAATTCCTAGTCAATTTGGAGAGTTATCATCTTAATAATACATAATACAGTGTTCTGACCCATGAATATGGGCTGTCTTTACATTTGTTTAGGTCTTTAATTTCTTTCAACAGTGTTTTGTAGTTCTTAGTATACAAGCCTATGTCACATCATGTCATCTTCAAACAGAGGTAGTTCTACTTCTTTCTTTCCAAACTGAATATCTTTTATTTAATTTTCTTGCCTAATTGGGAAACTTAAAAATTACTAATTCAATCTCTTGTTTTAGGTCTGTGTAGATACTCTGTTTTATATTAAGTTAATTTCCAGAGTTTTTGGTATCTTAGGAATTTATCCATTCCATGTGGGTTCTCTAATTTGTTGACATACAGTAATTCATAGCATTTTTCTTATAGCCTATTTAAGTTCAGTAGTGATGTCTCCCCTTTCCTTGCTGATTTCAGTACATTGGCTCTTCTCTCTTTTTTCCTGCTTAGTCTAGCTAAAAGTTTGTCAATTTGTCGATATTTTTGAAGAACCAGTTTTTGCCTTCATTGATTTTTCTCCATCTTTTGTTCTCTATTTCATTTGTTTCCATGTAACTGTATTCTGAGTCATTAAGGTAAGTGGTCTTTTTCCCCTAATCCATTTTCAAAGATAGAGAGCTCACAAGTGTAATTTCACTGATGTCTTTTCACAACCCTCACTCTCTGTACCTAGCTCAAAGTGTATTGACAAAGGAATGAAAAGACATAGTCTTGGGCCAGCCCAGTGGCTCAGTTGATTAAGAGCACGAGCTCTGAGCAACAGGGTCTCCGGGTTTGATTCCCACATGGTCCAGTGAGCTGCACCTGAGCTGAGCTGCCGCTGAGCTGCTAACAGGTGGCAGGATGGCTCAGCTGGTGAGAGCACATGCTCCTAACAACAAGGTTGCGGGTTCCACTCCTGCATGGGATGGTGGGCTATGCCCACCCGCAACTAAGATTGAACATGGCACCTTGAGCTGAGCGGCCGCGAGCTGCCGATGGGAGGCCGGATGGCAACTGGACTTGGAGCAAGATTGCTGTGCCCTCCACAACTAAGATTTAAGGACAACAACTTGGCTGTCCCCTTTTCCCAATTCCCCAACACTGTTCCCCTTCCCTAATTCCCCAATAAAATCTTTGTAAATAAATAAATAAATAAATAAATAAAAGACATGGTCTTTACTTTTAAGGAGCTTAAAGCTTCTCACAGCATCCTTTCTTTTTAAGACATTTGTCTCTGTGCCTACCCTAAATATCTCTTGCTACACTTGAAGCTTGTTTCCTGGTTCTGTCATTTTGGGAACTGGGAAACCAGGAACTTAAAAGTATTTACCAAAGGATTGCTCAGGCTTCTTTTCATTAGGTTAAATAACTCTAGTTTCTTTAAGAAGGATCCTTTAAGTACTAAGTTAGGGGGGAGTGTGTGTGTGTGTGTGTGTGTACACGCTTGCCTTACTCCTCACCCCAGTCCTGTCCACCATATTTTTAGGAAATACAATCTTTGCCCTTGAGGAACCAACTTTTGTTTAAGAGGTTATAAAATGGCCACAAAAAACAACAACTAAAGAACAGCTGCAAGGAAGTACAGCATCAGATGCAAATTAGGGTGTCTTCCATATCTTCAGAGGTTTTGCTGCTCTTCCTTAGGCCCCCTCCAGGTTCTCTGCGGTCCACTGCAAATACGGAACCCAAGGCTTGGTGAGCAGGTGGAGGCTACCTCTTAGCTCTTATTCATTATACTTTTGGATTTGAGCATTGCCGTATCATATGAAGCTCCAAATAGTGCATTATTAGCATTAGCTAGGGTTACAAACCAAGTCTGAACTAGCCTGCAATAGAAACTCTAATTAGCTAAGTCTAAGCTCCCCTAAGAATTGCAGTTATAGCATATTTTCTGCAAAAAATCAGTAATAACTTGAGCAGTTGGTGTAGAATGTGAATGGTTTTATACCATGTGAAGCCATTAAGTACACTTTGGACATTTGCATTTAATTTAGGACAGCAATATTTTCGGTTATATTGTAAAGGCCAAGATGAATTTGCATTTTCCTCTGATGTTTCTTGGATCTTTCTCATTGTTTTCTTTGTTGACTCATGGAAAGTAATCCTTGTAGAATTGTCTTTTTTATCGTCTCCGTTATTTAGCTTTTAGATCTGTTTATTCGTTGGCAGTTTATTTTACATGCTTTTTCCAATACTACCTTCCTAGATGAGAATCTTATCTTCTCAGCTGTACTTTTAGAATAATTTCCTTATTGTTTTCTATGTGTCCTTTTTTCCTGACTCTCTTTTCAGCCCACCTGAGTTTTAAAAATTGTATACAGTTGTTAGCCACCAGCGCAATTAAGATACAGAGCATTTCCATCACCCCCAAAAGTTCTCTGTGCCTCTTTGCAGGCATCGTCCTTCCCTGCTTGTGGCCCCAGATGACTGCTGATCTTCCTTCTGTCACTATAGTTTTGCCTTTTGAATGTTTTATAAATGTGATCATGCAGTATGTAGCCCTTTACGCCTGGCTTCATTCATTTTGCATAATGTGTGTGAGATTCATCCATGTGGTTGCATTTGGTTTGTTTCTTTTTATTGCTGAGTAGTCCTCCAGTGACTTAATCGTGGTGTTGCAGGTGGATGGCATTGTGGCTGCTGAGTATGAGCTGGAGTACCTCCTACTGGAAGGTCACTGCTATGATGTCACCACTGGCCAGCCCCCGCGAGGACTGCAGTTTACATTAGGAACTTCAGCCAACCCAGTCATCGTGGACACCATAGTTATGGCCAATCTGGTAAGTAACCAGGACTTCAGATGGTGATACTGAGTCATGTTAATCTGGGCACTACAAATTATGATGGAGCAGTTAGCATTCTGAACATGAGTGAGATTGAAATTCATGATTGACTGAATTTGGTCAATATAAAAGTCCTGAGTTTAGTAAGATTATAGATTGTAATTACATGTCACCTTAAAAGAAAACATGCTAGAATATTCTGCTCTGAACCAGTTCGTCCCTCGAAGTGCATTGTGTGTGAGATGACAGCGCTGTTCTTTTTGTGGGTTTGCAGCTTACGTCACATGCTGATTCTTCCCTGAATTATGGCTGACGAGCAGGCTCCTTGGCTTGACTGGTGTATTTTGCTAGTGTTTCTAATGTGTAGGTTTTTTAAAGAGTTGCACTGATTTGTTAAATATCTTATTTAAAATATAGGTGACCAATATTTCATAAAAAGAAGTAACTGTCTCTCAGAAACAGCATTTTGATGTTTCGAAGAAAACTAAAATTTGTCTTTATTTTTGTCCTAGGGTTACTTTCAGTTAAAAGCCAACCCAGGCGCTTGGATTCTCAGACTAAGGAAAGGACGTTCTGAAGATATTTATAGGATCTACAGGTAGGATTAAGTGATGCAGGTGCATTTTTTTCAGAGCATTTTTGTTCTGAAAATCAGCTCAAATTGACTACTACACTGTCAATGGGCCAGGAAGTAAGAATTTAATTTGCAATTCTATGCGTGATGAAACAGTGCTTTTCCAGGAAGTTAAACATGGAAGAATGGGCAGGGTATAACTGGATAATAAGTACTAAAGTACTAATAAGTGTAGTGAAGTTTCACTTTTTAATTAACCCTGTCTGCTACAAGTATCCCAGAATCAAATCATCTTTCACTGTGATGAAAACCATAGGCAGATGAGAAGCTGAAGCATTTTAAGAATGGAGAAAGGAAATGAAGGACAGTCTGACTTTTCTACGCAAATGGCACATTTCCCGACTCGAAGTGGGGTGCAGGTGCACAGTGCCTGTGAACTTAGTCATGACTCTTTGGTGCTCATGCTGGTCCTTCCCGGCCCGTAGTCTCCCAGAGCATGTCATCAGGGGCCCGGGTTTTGTTTCAAGGTTTGCTACAAATGACTATTAGTTAAAAAAAATTATGCCGCCCTTTAAAAAGGTGTAGTCTAAATTCTGCCTAACACAGTTTAAATTAGCTTTAAGCTACGTGAAAAGACTTCATGTGATGTATTTAGGGAATATTTCCATTAGGGCTTGTTTAAACACCCTCTGTTGTTACCTCATTTTAGCTCCTTAAGGTCTTACCCAACACAGGTGAAAGCAGTGTGAATTTTTGCATATTTTTTACCCAAGAAGTAGAAGACGCTTGTATTATAATAACATCTTCATTGTAAGCAGTAGGTTCTCTTCCAAGTAATGCTCTTCTCAAATAGGCTTTACAGAATTTAACTCTCATAACAAGCGCATCTGTTGTCCTTCTAGACCCTGTTCCTTCTGTGTGCCTGTCCCCTAGGAGTGTGGGACTCCCCTCTCTCCCTGCTCTCTGGAGCTCCCTGCCTCCTGTACTTCCCACTGGGTACTCCCAGCCTCTGGAATGTCTCATGCTCCCCCATCAGAATCTTTCCTTTGCCTGAGAACTGTGCTGTCTGTGGGATGACAGTGAATTCATATTTTATCGTGGCTTTCTGCAGTCAACACCTTGAAGATTGGTGGCTGGAAATTATAGGCATTACAGTTAGTTAGTAGGGAGCTACTTTCTCTCCTCTGCCCTGTCTGCCTGCAGATAGAGTTCGTTAGCACTCTTTTGCCCAAGTGTGGATACCTGACTGAGTACAGGCCTGGACTTGGCTGGTCAAGTGCATCCGGGCAGAAGGACAGAGCAGGTACTCTTAATGAGCCTAAAGTAGAGCCATGCTGTGCTGCTCACTCATCAGGGAGTAGAAGGGATGTTCCTTTGGTGACTGCAGAGTGGCCCGTGACCCAGGCACTCCTTTACTCACCATGCTGGGCTGGGCTCAGACCTCGTGATTACAGATGGTGGGTAAGGGCTCAGCCTATGCATCAGTGCTGGGAGCCTCTCACTCTATGAAGGTCATTTCAGGAAGACTCTAGACGGAAGTTTGGGCTGTGACTGACTGGAATGATCAGTGTTTAAAGCATAGAGATTTTGGCAGGTGCTCTTGTGTAGCTTGAAGGGGCTTCCTCCAGGTCATGGAAAAATAATTTGTTCTGAAAAACTCCTTTTAAAATGATGGACCAATATGGTGGATTGATGTCAGATTATTTACTGCATTTTGAGAATTGCGATTTGTAGCATCTGTCTTACTTTCTCTCTTTTCCCTCTAAGCCATGATGGTACAGATTCTCCACCTGATGCTGATGAAGTTGTTGTTGTCCTCAATAACTTCAAGAGCAAAATTATTAAAGTGAAGGTGAGTTTGGGATATAAAGAAAGTAACTCTTTTCTAGTTGGTAAAAGTGGCAGCATTCTGGTATTTGGTACCAATTATCCAAAAATATGTATTGTGAAACTAGCCCCAAACTATGTGAGTTGATGGATGTGTTACCTCCAGTCATGCTGTCATTGAAGTAACCGTATCACAGTACATGTATATATAAAATCACCACATTGTATACCTTAAATTCATACAATGTGACTTGTCAGTTATATTTCAGTAAAACTGAGGGGGCAGAAACAGGCCCAAGACTTTAATTCATCTTTGGAATTTTACTCTGGTGCATATAGGAATGCTGCTTTAAATGCAAAATGTCTTGTGTAAAATATACATTTGTGGCTTTCTTCAAGTGAAAGTGAGCACTTTTTGGATAATCTCAGCAATACAAGTCTCATTTTAGATAAAATGTTCTCATAGATATTGTGTTGCTTGTATAGCCACAATTCACACTATTAGTGATGACTTTATTCTCAGACGGGGAGCATGCCAATGAAAATTTCAACAGGAATAGTGAATGGTAGCCCTCTTTAATTTCTTCTCATTTCTACTTCCTTTTCTCAGCATTTTAAAGTTCTTGTTGCCTTAAATTCAATTGAAAGGTATGGAGTAAGTGCAGCCACTCCACTTTATTGCACTTCAAATTGAAGGCAAGACCCTCCACCAGCGAAAAGATAACATTTAGCTTTATTGAGCTCCTTGCTTTATGGCGGTGGTCAGGAACTAAACCCACAGCATCTCTGAGTCTGCCTGTAATCCATACACACAATAAAATCTAAAGCAGCCCACACAGAGTTGAGCAGAAAAATGGTCCCTATGCTGTAATGTGAACAGAGAAAATTCACCCTGTCTTTGTCCTAGTAAATCCTGAAAAAGGTTATGACAATAAATGACTCCTTCCTGATAGAACTCACATAGATTACACTTTTTACCTAGAACTAGCTGTTAGCTTGGTGAACTATACTTCTATTTTTACTCAGACTACATTTCCTACACAGTTGAATTGGAGGTTGTTTGCCCATTTTTCAAACTGAAAACAGCTCGTGTCTGATTAAAAGGTTGCTGTCTTCTCACTTAAGGTTTTATGTGGTATGATAAAGATACTTCCAGTGCCTCTGGGTGGGTTGTACCTGCTTGTGGGAGAATTAAGCCCTATTGTTGGCAGTACCCACAGTGTACATCCAGTACGGTCAGTTTAATACCAGCCCAGTAGGAGGAATAAGACTGATCCTGTACGATTGCAGGTTCAGAAGAAAGCAGACATGGTGAATGAAGACCTGCTGAGTGACGGAACCAATGAGAATGAATCTGGATTTTGGGACTCCTTCAAATGGTAAATTGGCATCATAAAAAACGTAATATTTTTAGGAAACACTGAAGTATAAGCACCATCCCTCCCTTCTTTTCAGTATAAGAATTCTGTCCTGGGCCTTTCAGATTCTGCTCTGTGCAGCCAAACATTGCTTTTACACTTAGCACAGATGAGTTTTTCCACTGACGGACTCAGTGTGGTTGCTTCTGTTCCATACTTCCTGGCTCTTGTTGGGTCATGCATGCTCTTTGGAGGGCTGACTGGTGATGGCTCCGTGACTTCCCATTGTGCTGACTGCATTCTGTGGACTAGCCTGCGTTCAATCTGTTCCCGGAGCTGCACAGTGCGGTTGGCCGTGGGTGCTTTTGGTGGTCTGGTGCTCTCTACCCGGGTTTCAGGGAGGCTTTACACCTGCTGCCTCTGCACCTCCCTCTAGGGGAGGAAGGGGAATGGAGAAACACCATCTCTGCTTCTCATAAAGGGCCGTGTGTACCAGCATTTCATGTGTGCTTGTATTTACCTTGATTATTATTATAGGGGCTTCACAGGAGGACAGAAGACTGAGGAAGTGAAACAAGATAAAGATGACATAATTAATATCTTCTCTGTTGCATCTGGTCATCTCTATGAACGATTTCTTCGGTTAGTCACATTGATTATTTCCATATATATGAATGAATTTGTCACAGTATTCTTATTCAGAGAGTAAATGTTTTATGGGATTCTGCCCCATTATACTTTTGTCTATTTGAAGCACTCTGAGGGTTGTGAGTAGATTACCACATATAATTGATTTGTTTTGATCTGGCCAACAGCATGAAGTCAAGCTATGTAGTAAGTGCATCTGTGGGTATTACAGGCTGTAAATCTTTAATCTCACTGTGCACACATTATAAATAGTGGTGTTTAATTGGCCACCAAGCATTGCTTAGATTAGGAGGTTACTACAGAGAACAGAAGTCAAATAGGGCTTGGACCTGCCTGCTAAAGACTCAGGATTTTAGAGCCGGGGGCATCTTAGTTCTCATAGAAGAACACCTCTGTTTTCTAGACAGACTCGGAGGGTGAAGGGACTCTCCTGGGGTCACACAGCTTGCCCAGGAGAGGCCACAGGCTCGCACTGGTGGCATAGTGGTCCCCAGGGGAGGCCTCAGGAGCCCTGTGGTCAGTGGTCAGGATGGCGCCTTGGCCTGGCAGTGACTCTCCTAATGCCTGGTTCCTGTTACTTTTCATTTCCCACTACAAATTGGGGAGTGCAGCAAATAATTCAGAATGTCATTTTACTCATGTTTTAGACCTCCCATTTCCAAGAAACAATATCTAAAATAGTAATGTCAGATATTAGTAGCAACTGAATTCAATTAAATTCCTTGACCCAAAACGTGTTTTTGTTGTTTTCAAAGTAGGAAATCCTGAAACTATCTGCCATTCCCTTACCAATTTCCATTCTTCTCCTTGACAGGGATCTCCTCTACAGGTGTGGGAGGCAGGGCAATTCCATGGAGTGGCTGTGGCTTTCCGGGAGTTCTTTATAGAGTGACGTAGTCAGTTAACCACAACCTCCATTATTCATTTGTATCATAATTAATGTATCAGTTTATGAAGCAGTTTAATTAAACATGTGACATAATTAAAATATTTGCCTTTATCAGTAGGTGTACTTTTATAGGTGAGAAATACTCCTTTCTCATTCAGTGATAACTTTATAAGAAGAAATAAGTACAATTTCCATTTTCTATTACTGAGGGTTTGTCTACCTAATTGAGCCATGAGTAAGCTCTGTCATGATGAACATTTAGCAGTCTTGTAATTGACTCTACTTGATTTTGTTGAGGTTAAAAAGCTTTGGAAGATTATTATTATTTGCTTTTTTTTGACAGCATAATGATGTTATCAGTACTGAAGAATACCAAGACTCCTGTGAAATTCTGGTTCTTGAAGAATTATTTGTCCCCCACGTTTAAGGTTTGTTCCTTAGGGAAAAGGAAAACCTTCTTATTAAGGATATATGTGTAGTATAATATACTTTTTACTACTTCTATGCTATCTGTATGATTTTCAAACTTTCCTTTTATTAAGGTACCCTGATTCAATTCCATAGTTCTATTTCTATTACTCTTCCAGACTGTTCTGTTTTTGGGGAGCAGTTGTTGTAAATGTCCTGTCTGAAGCTTGGCTAACAGAGGAGGAGAGTCTGTATCTTCTGCTTTGATGAAATACCACTCTCTTCCTTTGAGCAGCATGTCCTGTCTACTTAGAAAGTTTGGTGCTGGTTTCCAGGGAGATGATTGCTACTCAGTGATCTATGGAAGGAATGCTTCATCTTTGCAAAACAAAATCACACTTGGAAAGTTTTCTGCTTTATTTACATTAGTTAGTATTTGTCATCTAAATTGATTTACTTGCATCTTTTTATGTTGTTCTGTAGAATTTACTAAACCATTTTTAATGTATTCGGTAATATCTCTTCTGGATAAGTAATTCACTTCTGCTCTCCTAAACGTACTTGTATTTAGAATCTGAAAGACTTATAATGGCAGCAGATCTGTTCAGAGTGTTTGGGTTTGTTATGTCATTCCCTGGATTAGACCTAGCCAAGAGAAAGGCTTAAAATCAAGCTCAAACAATGTTTTACTGATCAAGTTTAGACAAATGAATCTTACTTATCAAGTTTAGAAAAATGAACTTGAAGTTCATTTCCCTTACACACACACACACACACACACACACACACACACACACACACACATTAGTTATCTAAAAGCCTTCACTTGGGCCAGCCGAGTAGCGTGTTGGTTAGGAGTTGGGTTGGGATGCCAGCTCTGAGCAGCAGGGCCCCGGTTCGGATCCCACATGAGGACCAGTGATGCTGTGCCCTCTATAGCTAAGATGGTGAACAACAGCTCGACCTGGAGCTGGGCTGCCATGAGTCATGAGTCACCGGCGACGGTGTAGGCTGCAGTGGGGCTGCCCGGCAGTGGGGCTGGCCAGCGAGCGACTGCCTCACCCGGGAAGAGCGCAATGATAATACCAACATGGGCCAGTGAAGTGACGTCCTCTACAACTAGACTGAACAACAAAAGGACAGCAGCTTGTCTATTCCCATTCCCCGATTCCCCAATGCTGTTCCCCTCCCCCAATTCCCCAATAAAATCTTAAAAAAATAAATAAAATAAAAGCCTCCACTTAAAGATTTCTGTAATTTCATGTGTTTAGAAGTCATAAAGAAATGGGGATTTGACAAAAGTTCTTTTATGTTTATTCTTTTATGTAGTCACAAGTGACTCAGGGTCAACCTTTTTTATTAGACCACTGTTATGGTAAATGTTTTACTTGTGCCATAATCATGGTGGTTTACTTACATTATGAAGTCGGTTTTTTTAATCAAAGTCAATGATTGTGTGTTGTTCCTTGTGTCTAAAAATAGGAGTTTATACCTTATATGGCAAACAAATACAATTTCCAGTATGAGCTTGTTCAGTACAAATGGCCCCGGTGGCTTCATCAGCAGACTGAAAAGCAACGCATCATCTGGGGTTACAAGATACTCTTCCTGGATGTGCTCTTCCCACTCATTGTTGACAAATTCTTGTTTGTGGATGCTGATCAGGTAAGCTCTTACAGGTTGGCTTCAGCGGTTTGTGGGAAAAGTATTAGAATTCCTTTTCCTTTTGGAGCGGTTTTATTTTTCCAGTTATGGAAAAGTAGATGGTCATTTTACATTATTTAGAATATATGGAAAGGTAGCACCCAGATGTGATCGCTTTTAAAATTTGCGTTTGATACAACTTTTTATATTTCGTGTGCCTCTTATACATAGTTGTCATTACATCATGTATGCAGTTTTGTATCTTAATTCATTTCACATACAAACTAAAAAGAGGCATTGTTTCACAAACCTCCCAACAACCCTGTGAGATCTCCATTTTACAGATGAGGAAACTGAGTCACAGAGAGGCCAAGTAATGTAAATTTGTTTTATTCCTGCTCTTTTTGAATCCTTAGACTACCGTGTGCCAAGCACTAGGCCAAGTATCTCACGTGTTAGTGCGGGCACTCAGCTAATCAGTGGAGGAATCTGGGTGCAAACTGGGCCTTCTGCATCACCTGTGCCCCTAACTGCAGAGCCGCCTTCCCTAATGCCTCCCTCAGCGAGATGCTCTCTGTGTTAAGGAGACTGCTATCTGCATGCTTGTCTAACAACAGATTTGTGATCTTTTCTCCAGATTGTCCGAACAGATCTGAAAGAGTTAAGAGATTTCAATTTGGATGGTGCACCTTATGGTTATACTCCTTTCTGTGATAGCCGAAGGGAAATGGATGGCTACAGGTTCTGGAAATCAGGGTACTGGGCCAGCCACCTAGCTGGGCGAAAGTATCATATCAGGTACTGAAAAAGGAAGATTCCTAACACTGTTTTTTTATTTTCTTTAAAATTAATGTTGCGTATTTAAAACTGTGAATAGGTAATACATTAATATGGTTCATAAATAAAATTTATAAAACATATAAAGTGAAAAAAAATCTTCCCAATTCTCTCTTCCACTAGTTCCCATCCCACAACAGATAACCTCCTCTATTAATTTACTGTAACTGTCCTTCCAGAGTTTCTTGATTCTTACATAAACAATTATGAATTATTTTTTACACAGAATGTGAATTCTTTTTTATATAAAATATACCATCCTATTTACAGTTTTGTGCCTTGCTTTAAAAAAGTTTTTTTTTTACTTAATATTTCTAGTGGATCTTATTCTGTCAATATGAAAGACCTTATTCGTTTATACATCTAAATATTATTCCAGTATGTATGTTATTACATTTATGGTCTTTGGCTGTGATAATACAATGTTGCAGTGAATAATTAAATACATTATTTTGTATATTTCAGCATTGCTAAAAGATAAATTCTCTTAGGTGAAACCGTGTATGCATTTGTTGCTTTTCTAACAAACACTATATTATCTTCTCTGGTCAAAGTGTTTTTGGAAGATTTGGAGGGTGAGGGGGGGACCAGTAGGAAGTAGTACGTAGAGAGATAAATGTTGAAGTATAGTGATTTCAAGCACTATACTTTATGTTTTTGGTCCAAAAGAATGGCAACATTGTTTGGGGATTCCCCCCCCACCCCCCGCAACGTTTAAGACATCATCAGAATATCTTTGACTAATGATTATTTAGCAATTACTACAGCTTTTATTATCTAATATGCTGACATTTTGCTAGAAATCTTTTGTCAGAGATTATTTCCTTTGCAAGGCAATTAAATAAGGAACAGTGAGTGACAAACTGAACTTGTGGTGGCAGAATCTGGGATTTGTAATGACTTTCTTAGCCATCTTCGAAGTAGTACATACTGATGCTGAGCTTCACCGCAGGGCCTCAGCTTCCCTTTTCAAAGAGAAGCCAGAATTTTTGCCTAGTGGCCTGTTCCATTATTCAGTGAAGTTACTTTTTCTGCTGTAATCCATGGTTATAACAAATGGATCTTCTTTCTCCAGTGCACTGTATGTTGTTGATCTCAAGAAGTTTAGGAAAATAGCTGCTGGTGACAGACTCAGGGGACAGTACCAAGGTCTGAGTCAGGATCCTAACAGCCTTTCAAACCTTGATCAAGTAAGTGGCTTTCTTTTTGGTTAATACTCTCAGTGATGGGTATACAATGTTGTGTCAGAAAATGAAGTATTATTTGTTTCTCAATTCTCTCTGTTGGGACAGTGTTGTGTTTCTTCATTGAAAGGAATTTTGTATATGTGTGTGTGACATTTTTATCTGTCCTCAAGAGAAGACACACTAGTGAAGAATGTCATAGGCCTGTGTTCACTTGGGAAGGGAGATGGAAGAAGGGCACTGCCTCTCGGAACCATTACTGTGTCTTTTCATTTTGTACCCAAGCTGGTCTGATAAATTTGTTTCTCTGCCTGCTGGGGTCAGTTTGTTTCTTTTCTCTAGGCACTAACCAGCTCAGGATTCACAGTATAGACTACAGTGTCACAATATCCCTTTTTTCTATGCTAGAAACAATGGTGTTTTTCAAAAAGTTTAGCTGAACCACAGTTTGTTAATGCTAAAAATTTTTCAGAGGTGAGATTATAGTTTAAATGTTTTAGATAGTTTCATATATTATTTTTTGCTTAAGTCTATTTAAACATTTTTAAACCTTTATTGTGATATATACCACCCATAAAGAAAAGTGTTCAAAACTAAAATATACAAATATGTACATATTTATATGCATCAATGAATTACTGCAAAGCAGATGCCCATATACTGTCTCCCAGTTCAAGAAACAGAAGGTGGTAACTATTATCCCAGAAGCCATCCTTCTTCTCTAACAAAAGTATCCAGCATCCTTACTTCTGTGGTAATCATCCCATTGCTTTTCTGTATAGAATTACTACTAAAACGTATAATCTTAAAAACTATAGTTTTATTTTGCATGTTTTTTTTCCTTTCTATCTCAGTAGCATCATAAAAGATGTGCTCTTTTGAATCGACTTCTTTTGTTCAGCGTTTGTTTGTGAGGTTCATCCACGTTGTGTATAGTCACACTGCTTTGTTTATCTGTTCTGCATTTGGGTAGTTTTCCATTTGTGTCTTCCATAGATAATGCTGCTGTGATCATTCATGCACATGTACACGTATTTCTGTTGTGTGTACAACTACAAGTAGGATTGCTGGGTCATCAGATTTGTGTATCTATATTTACTAGATAATTCCAGACAGTTTTCCAAAGTATTTTTAGTGTATACTTCCATCAGTCGTAAGAATTCCTGTTGCTTTATGTTTTGACCAATACTCATTCTGTTAATTTGGTAGGTGTGATCTCGCATCCCATGTGGCTTTCAATTGGAGAGCTTAATGTATTTACATTTAATGTAATTATTAGTGAGGTAGGATTTACATCTGCCATTTCCTGTTTGTTTTCTATATGTCCTCTGTTTTTTGTGTTCCTTATTATGGTCTTCTTTTATGTTATATAGGCATTTTAATTCCCTTGTTTCTTTTACTATATATATTTGGGTTATTTTCTTAGTGGTTGTTCTGATGATTATCATTAACACTTTAATTTATGACAATCTAGTTTGGATTAATAACAACTGAATTTCAGTAGTATACAAAAACTGTGTTCCTATATAGCTTCTTCCTTCCCATACTGTTATTGTCATACAGTGTATGTGTTTACACATTATATGCCCATCAACACAGATTTATGATTGTTTTGTAGTTTTTTAAAATCAGATAGGGGCAAAAAGGAGTTCCAAACAAGAAATACATTTATATGTTTTTTTTTTATATTTAACTGCATACCTTTACTGGTGTTCTTTAATTCTTCAAGTGGATTTGAGTTACTGTTTAGTGTCCTTTCATTTCAGCCAGAAGGATTCCCTTTAGTATTTCTGGTTAGGGTGGCTCTGGAGCTATCAACTCTTGGGGAATGTATAAATTTCTTCATTTTTTTGATGAATGGGTTTTGATGGATATAAAATTCTTGCTTGACAGTTTTTTCTTTCAGCAGCTTAAATATATTGCCCCGCAGCCTTCTGGCTTCCATGATTTCTGATGAGAAATGAGCTGTTAACTTTGAGAATCCTTTGTCTGTGACAACTCCTTTCTGTCTTGCTCATTTCCAGGTTCTCTGTCTTTTGACAGTTTATGATACATCAAGGTGTAGGTCTCTTTGAGTTTATCCTGCTTGAAGTTCATTGAGTTTCTTGGATGTGTAGATTAATGTTTTTCATCAAATTTGGGGAGTTTTCTTTATTTCTTCAAATATTTCCATCCCTTTCTTTCTCTCTCCTCTTGGGACTCCCATTATGTGTATGTTGGTATATTTGATGGTGTCCCACAGATCTCGGAGGTTATGCTTATTTTCCTTCATTCTTCTTTCTGCTCTTGAGACTGGATAATCTCCGTTGATCTGAGTCTTTTTTTTCTGCTTGCTCAAATCTGTGGTTGAACACTTCTAGTGAATTTTCATTTCGGTTATTGTATTTTTCAACTTCAGATTTTCTGTTTGGTTCTTTAATATAATTTCTATCTCTTTATTAATGTTGTGTAATTTTTCAAACATTATTCTCATACTTTTTTTTTAGTTCTGTTACACATAGTTTTCTTTCGTTATTTGAACACATTTAAAATACCTGATTTAAAGTCTTTGTCTTGTAAGTCCAATGTCTGCGCCTCTGAAAATATAGCTTCTATTACTTGCTTTTTTTCCTCCTCTTTATGGGCCATACTTTCTTGGGTTTTTTGCATGTCTCTTCATTTTTGTTGAAGACTAAACATTTCAAATAATATAGTGTGGCAACTCTGGAAATCAGATTTCCTCCCCTCACCAGAGTTTGTTGTTGCTGCTTGTTGTACTAATTGTTTGTGCCTTCTAAACTAGTTCTGTGAAGTCTGAATTTTTTGTCTGTCTGATTTGCTTAGTGGTTAGCTAAAATTGGACAGAGATTTCCTAAGGCTCAGAATCACTAAAACTGCCCCCAGTTTTTGCAAAATGCCTATAGGTGCATGTTACGTCCTCAGTTGTCAGCCAGGCAGGTTACATACAGCTTTACCTTAGCCTCAGCTTTTCCTTGCAAAGAGCCTTAGGATCAGCCAGAAACCAGAGCTTTGGCCATCTGAGGTCTTTCTTGATTATGCACACAGCCCTGAGCATGCAGAGCCTCACATGTATGTTGCCGTCTGTATTCCCAGGAATATGTTTTTTCTTTTCAAAGTCTCCTATGGATATCTTATTGTTCAGCTTCTCCTTTAAAGGTTTCTGGTTAGTTTGTTCTTTGCTCCACCTCAGGCAGTCTTAGGAAGCCTAATATATTCAAGAAATGGTGCCAAGGAGAAGCTTTTGCCATTGGGCAAGTTCAAGTGAGATTGAATAGAGTAAGCTTTTACAGTACAGTCTTCTGGGGAACCACCAGTCTGGTAAAATAATGACTGTGCTTTGGGAATGAAACTTTGAAAGACCTTCAGCCTTCTTCCTCTAGTGTGGGAATGCAGGTGGTTAATTTCTGAGGCTGAAGGAGAGGAGAATGGGAGTAGGGTGCAAGTTAAAACACCACAGAGCTCACTGTTCTTACTGACATGCAGCCATTTTTGTTGACTTTTCAGTGCTCCTTTGGTTGCTGCAGGTTTGGTTAATTTCCAGAGTTCTGAAAAAGTTATTCTTACTATTTTTGCCAGTTTTGGGGGTTTTTTTGATGGATGGGTGAATTGTCAGAGCTCCACACTCTGCCATTTTTGCTGATGTTGCTCCCCATTGTGGTTTTATTTTGCACTTCCATAATTAATAATGAAGTTGAGTACCATTTTGTATGTTTACATCAGTTTAGATATTCTCTTTTGCGATGTGCTTATTTAAGTATTTGGGTTGTTTGGTGTTTTTCTTCTTGATTTATGGTCAGTCTTTATATATATTGATAGTATATCCTTTTTAGCTATCTATTTTAGAAAATTTCCCACCTTGACTCTCTTACTGGTATCTTTTGTAGTCAGGCTGGTCAGTATTTTTCTTCATGGGTAATGCTTTTTGTCTCTTGTTAAGGTTATGAAGATGTTTTGTATATGAACTTTATTGTTTTTCTTTCACATTTAGATTCTATATTCCAGTAGGAATTTGTTTTATGTATGGTGTGAGATAAGAATTCAGCTTTCATTTTTTATGTACATATATGTGTACAGTTCTATCAGCATGATTTGTTTTTTAATGAAATGCACTGCTCTGCAGTGCTACCTTTGTCAGATATGAAGTATCTATATGTGCATGGATTTGTTTCTGGGCCCTTTATTCATTGGTCTGTTTGTCTCACACCCATACTGCAAATATCTCAATTACTATAGCTAATAAATCAAATCCTCCCACCTCATTCTTCTTCAAGAGTGTCTTAGAGTATTCTGTATCCTTTATTTTCCACATACATTTTAGAATCAGTTTGTCAAGTTCAGGAGGAAAAAACACCTGTTAGGATTTTATATTTGGGTTGTGTTTGATTGCGCTCAATAATGTAGATGGATTTCTTTATAGAGATCTTGTCCATCTTTGTTAGAGTTATTTTTTAAAAACTTGATTTTTGTTGCTAGTATCTAGAATTGCAATGGAGTTTTGTTCATTGGTGTATTCAGCTACCTTGCCAATCTGTATATACTTTTGGATTTTCTATATACATAATCATATTATCTACAAATAATGACAGTCTTTTTTTTTTTCCCAATCTTACATTTTCAAAGATTCTTGCTTTCTCCATTGGCTAGGACCTACATTTTGTTGAACAGAAATATTGATTGTGGACATTCTTGAATCAAAACAAAAAATTTCAGCATTTTACTACTAACTATTGTGTTTGCTGTGGTGGTTTTGTAGCTACCTCTCATTTAGATTAAGGAAGTCCTTTTATTCCTAGTTTGCTGCTCTTTTGTTTTAACCTATTGTGTTAAATTTTATATGTTTTTGATATCTGCTGAGATGATTTTCCCCTCTTATTCAGTAATATAGTTAATTATGTACTTAATATAATTTTTGAAATATAATATATTACAACTTGATCGTGATTTATTATCCTTTTTTATATATTCCTGGATTCTTTTTGCTAGTATTTGTGTAAGAATTTTGCATTTATGTTTTTGTGTGACATTGGCTTGTGATATCTCTGTTAGGTTTTGGTATCAAGGCTATGTTGGCTTAATAAAATGAGTTAGGTTTAGTTCTTTTTCATTTGCCTGTAATTGGTTTGTGTACGATTGGCCTTATTTCTTTCTTAAATGTTTGGTAGAATTCAGTAGTGCAGCTACATAGAGATTTCTTTGTGTTTAAATTATGACTCTAATTTCTTTAAGAGTTTTGGGACTGTTGACATTTTTTAGTACTTCATTTATCACTATTTTTGTTAAGTTGTATCTAAATTTCATAACATATTGTCACTAAGCTGTTTCTTACAAATAGCTGTATACTGTGACATGCTTAAGTACATGTCAGATCTTAAGTGTACTGTTTAATTCGTTTTGAAAAATGTGTATCAAGAACCAGTTTTCGTCATATCAGCAATCTCTTTAAAGTCTGTAGGATCTGTACTGATTTCTCTCTCTCTTTTAATTACTGGAATTGTTTATTTGTGCTTTCTCATTTTTCCCTTGGTGAACTACCTAGGAATTAATCAGTTTTATCAATCTTTTCAAAGAACCAGCTTTTAATGTTTTTCATTTTGTCTACAGTGTTTCTTTTTTATTTCACTATTTTTTGTTTATTGTTTATCTTTTACTTTCTTTTATTTGTTGATTTTTTTCCTAATTTCTTGAGATAGATGTTTAAGTTCATTTGAAATTTTCAAATTCTATCTCAGCAAGACTTTGGTTACATTTCACACTCTATATATAGAATTTCCTTATCATTTAGTTCAGTGTGTTTCTAGTTTCCATTGTTTACAATGTGTTTCTAGTTTCCACTTATTTTTTAACTCATGAGTTATTTAAAAGTGATTGCAAATACATGGGCACTTTCCAGTTATATTTTTGTTATTATTTTCTAGCTCATTTGTTCTATGATCTGAGAATGTATTCTCTGTGATCTCAGGCATTTGAAGTTTATTGAGATTTACTTTTTGACCCAGTTTTGGTAAACATTTTATCTGGTTTCATATTCTGCAGTTGTTAAGTGTAATATTTTTCTATGTTCATTAGGTCAAGTTTAGCAATATACTGTTATGTGGTTTTTTTTGTCTGTCTTTTTTCTATTAGTTACTGAAACAATTGTGTTAAAAATCTTTTTCTGTACTGTGAAATCTTGCTTGTTTTTGTCTTTGTTAAATTTTGCATTATGTATTTTGAGACTATATTATTAAGTGGCTAAAAACTTAGAAGTCGTATATATATTTTAGACTGGTAACACCTTTTATTTTGGGCGGGGGGCCTTAAAAGTGTGCTTCATCCAATACTAGTGCAGCTGCATGAGTTTTCTTTTTGGTTAGTGCTACATGGTATTTTTTTTTTTTTTTAGCTGAGCCATCCTGCCACCTGTTGGCGGTTGTTTTTTTTTTAATTGTCTATTTTCAGTCTTTATCTTTATGTTTTAGTTGTATTTTTTTACAAATAACTTGTATCTATTTGTTTTTTCATTTGGTGTGACAGTCATATAATTTGAACATTTAGCCCATTTATAGTTAATGTAATCACCAATGAGTTTGGCTTTTCTATAGTACTCCTACTTACTCCATGTGTTCTGTGTTTCTTTTTTTCTCCTTACTCCATTTCTTTCAGATTGATTGAGAGTTTTTAACATTTCGTTGTCCCTCCATTAGCTTAAACTATACACTTTTTGCAATTCTTTTAATGATTATCCTAGCAATTACAGTATGCAATTCTGACTTTGCAAAGGCTAATATTAATTGGTATATTTTATCCACCTACCACACAGTGCAAAAACAGAACAGTGCTTCTCAAATTTTAGCATATATAAAAGAATCACCTGGAGGACTTACTAAAGCATTAATTTCTGGGCCCCATTTGCTCAAGCTGATTCAGTACATAATGGCTGGGCCTAAGAACCTGCATTCCTAGCAGGCTCCTTGCTGCCAGGCTGCATACCACGTTTTGAGTAGCCCTGTCTTATGACTCATTAACTCCATTTTTACTCATCCCAGCCTAAATGCCTTGTTGCCGTGTATTTTATATCTCTATTTTAAGCCTCAGAAGAAGTTATTATTCTTGTGTAGTACAGTCAATATCTATTTAGATTTAGATTTACTTACACAGTTTCCCTTTTGGTTACTCTGTCTTCTTCCCTGTGTTTCTGGGCTTCTACATAGGGTAATTTTCCATCTGCCTGAATTATATAACGTAAAATTTACCATTTAATTATTTTTAAGTGTACAACTCAGTTGTATTAAGTACATTTACAGTGTTGTGTAACTGTCCATCTCTAGAACTTTTTTTATCATCCCAAACAGAAACCCTGGATCCATTAAACAATAACTTCTCCTTTTCTCCTCCCCCCAGTCCCTGGTAACCTCTATTCTATTTTCTATCTATGTGAATTTGCCTATTCTAAGTACTTTTGGAATTATACAATATTTTTCCTTTTGTGTCTGACTTACTTCACTTAGCATGTTTTCAGGGTCCATCCATGTTGTAGCATGTATCAGAATTTTCTTTCTGTTAAGATCCAATAGTATTTCAATGTATGAATATATCATATTTTGCTTATCCATTCATCTGTTGATGGACATTTGGCATATTTCCACTTTTTGACTATTGTGAATAATGTCTCTATGAACATTGGTGTATAAGTATCCATTTGAGTCCCTGCTTTCAATTCTTCTGTGTATAGACCCAGAAGTGGAATTTCTGGGTTATACTGGTTGTGTATTAGGACAATGGGATATTTTATTGTGTCAAACTCAAAAGGTTTTCTGAGAAAAAAGCTTCAAAGCATAGAGTACTGTTGGCTAGAAAACGTGGGCTTATTCATTTGGGATCAGTCTCAGCAGGCAAGATGGATTCAAAGCTTCCTGTAGGCAAAATTTTGATATATAAGAACTATATTTTTAGTTGACTTTCGAAGGCACGAGTGTTTTTCTTAGAATTGCCCTCTGGTGGGAAGTCTAGCTGCAGTCATGAGTTTTAAGCTAACGATTTTCAGGTGCTTATTATGAGTAGGTCCTCTAAACTTTGTGGGTTTTGAAAGCACCATAAATATTTTAGCTTCTCACAGGTTTTTGGTAAGGACGCTTTCAGTTCTAAAACTTTGTGATTGGCATGTGTTATGTAATGAGCAGCTAACATCACTAATTTGCTATGTGTTTAAGTTTTCCTACAACTTTACATTGTTTTTATTTTCTTTACCTAACAGGATTTGCCCAATAACATGATCCACCAGGTGCCAATTAAATCACTTCCTCAAGAATGGCTTTGGTGTGAAACATGGTGTGATGACACCTCTAAGACAAGGGCGAAAACAATTGATTTGGTAAGCTGTCTGTGGTTCTTTTCTGCATCTTAGTCCAAGGTGATGTATTCCAGGGTGATGACTAGATAATTATTAATACACAGATTCTTATTTACTCTTTCTCTGCAGTTGTATAGTTTAGGTACTGCAGAACATCTCACAGTAAGCATACCTCTTTTCTGCTTGATGCAGAGAGCCAAATCCTTTAGTGTCTGATGGGGCTGTGTTCACTGTTTACAGTCAGTGAAGGTACTATTTCTGCTTCTGCTAATGTATCATTTGATTCCCCATGTTGTTCTTTTTTTCCAGTTAGAACTTATAACCCAGGAACAGAAACACCTTTGCATTCTATATAATGTACCATTTCTACACTCAGCGGAAGTATGTTATTTTGCTTTTCACAGTGTAATAATCCAATGACCAAAGAGCCCAAACTGGAAGCAGCTGTTCGAATTGTCCCAGAGTGGCAGGACTACGATCAGGAGATCAAACAGCTCCAGATCCGCTTTCAGAAGGAGAAGGAAATGGGAGCACTATATGAGGAGAAGACAAAAGAGTCACACAGAGAAGGTAGGGACAAACCTTGGCTTTGGGCAAATACTCCTTTGCAGTTCTCATTTCTGTTTGCTGCAAAAACAACAGAATTCATAAGTAAGAGGAAAAGAAGAATTACGTATTATCCCTTTTATTCTGACATCAACCAGTGTGTATTTTTCATTTTCCTTTTTCAGTTGCCCTTCCCCCTCCCCTTTTTTTTGAGAAAGGATGCCTTAATTGTGGTTATTTAGGTTCATGATGATATATAAGCCAAACCTGACATTATTTGTGGGCTCTCTTGTCAGATTCCCTAGTTTTTCATTAAATCTGTCCAGGCGCTGGTAAATGAACACATTTAGGATCAAGACAAAGCACATATTGATTTGAAAACAAAAGAATTCTTTCAAACAAGCATGTTGGGGTGGGGATGGAGTGTTTGTACTTAATTTAGGATAAGAATAGAAAGGACTGGGCCGGCCGAGTGGCGCGATGGTTAAGAACTGGCTTGGGACACCAGAGGGCCCCGGTTCGGATCCCACATATGAGGGCCAGTGACACTGCCCTCTACAGCTGAGATGCTGAACAACAGCTCGACCTGGAGCTGGGTTGCCATGAGTCGCCGGTGACGGCGTAGGCTGCAGCCCCTGTGGCAGTGGGTTGCCATGGGCTACCGTGTGTAGCCAGCAGCCAGCGTGAGCGGCCAGCAGCCGCAGTGAGCGGCCGTCCAGAAGCCGGCGACTGATGTGCCTCGCCCGGGAAGAGCGCGATGATGGTGCCAACTTGGGCCAGTGGGGCAGCGTCCTCCACAACTAGACTGAAGAACAAAACGACAGCAACTTGTCTGTTCCCCTTCCCCCAATTCCCCAGCACTGTTCCCATCCCAATTCCCCAATAAAAATCTTAAAAAATAAATAAATAAATAAATAAAAGAATAGAAAGGACTAAGTCTTCTTATATAATGCTTTCCCTATTACATTTATATCTCTAATAGTAGCCAGTTGAAAATGATTAGAATACAAAAATCACGTTTTGTAAACTATTATATTAATAAGCTGGGCTGTGGATTTTAACATTTATTCAGCTCAAAACTAATTTTAAAAAAGCAATTTGAGAACGTGGATCTTGAGTGATTCACCTAAACATCCTGAAGACTATATCATATTAAATATCACAACTCAAAGGTTGGGTATTTACCATAAAAATAATTAATTGAAAAATACATTAGTAGGGCCGACTGAGTGGCTCAGTTGATTAAGAGCTCGAGCTCTGAGCAACAGGTTCGCCAGTTCAATTCCCACATGGGCCAGTGAGTTGCACCTGAGCTGAGCTGCCCTGAGCTGCCAACAGGTGGCAGGATGGCTCAGCTGGTGAGAGCACGTGCTCCTAACAATAAGGTTGCCGGTTCGACTCTCACATGGTATGTTGAACCTGCAACTAAGATTGAACACGGCACCTTGAACTGAGTGGCTGCGAGCTGCTGATGGGCAACTAGATAGCGACTAGACCTGGGAGCTGAGCAGCTGTGCTCTGCAACTAAGATTGAAGGACAACAACTTGGTTGTTCCCCTTCCCCAATTCCCCCAATAAAAAAATCTTAAAAAAAAATAATAAAAAAATTAATAAAACCTCAAGGGTTTCTATAGATAAATAGGCAAAAAATGTAGAATACTGTTCAAATAAGAGGAAAACACTAAATGAATTTGAGGCAACAGCAATCAGATTAAAGGAATCTATCATTAATATGTACTACATAGAAAAAATATCCATACTGATAATGCCGTTTGTTGGGGAGATGGTGATGAGACTATTGTGGTCCATCTTGCTAAAGCTTGGTGTAGTAGAACAATCCTTGTTACAAGGCAGCAAGTCTGTCGTCGGGGGCCATTACAATGTGTATGCCCTCAGTAATTTCTCTCAAGAATTTACCTTAAGTAATTCAACAGAAGAAAAAAGTTATATACATGGAGAAATCTACTTTACTAATACTTATAAACGAAAAGCATTGAAAAAAATGCCCGGCCGGCCAAGTGGCTTGTTGGTTAAGAGTTGGCTTGGGTGCGTGAGCTCTGAGCAGCAGGGCTGCCGGTTCGGATCCCACATGGGCCGGTGATGCTGCACCCTCTACAGCTAAGATGGCGAACAACGGCTCGACCTGTACTTTGAAAATAGTTCACATTGAGTAGGGATATGCCAGTAGTTTCAATATTTGTAAAAATGTCTTTTTTATTTTGTTTTTGCTTTCGAAATATAATACAAACACACCAAACTAAAGTTCCTAAAAATTTAAAAAGAGAGATAAGTTGGAGGCTTGGACATAAATAACAGGTTGTAGATAGAAAATGCACAGCCTGTATTTTTATACTTGAGGACAGTCCATTTTCTTTTCAATTGTTCTCTTTTTCCACAGGACCTCAGAAACGTGAAGAATTATGATCTCCAGAGGAAGGTTAGGAAATGACACCATGTGAAAAACACTTTCTATATTAAGCACTAGTTTTTTTCTGATCTGTCTATACAACTGCTGATGAACTGGCTGGGCAGGCTGCGTGCCTTTGATTCTGAGCTTTCCTTTGACTCCTGCACACTGGTGGGCTCTGCATCTTCAAAGCTAAGGCTCTCTTGGATTTATACCTCAGAGGAAGACCAGTGGCCGATCCGTGGGGACTCTGCAAAGAGCAGTCATCTAACCAGAATGCAAAATGGCAAACGCAACGGGAGGAAAACAAGTCCCTGTTCCCCCACCCAGAGCTCACAGGTGCCGCACCACTGTGGGAGCCCTGCCTTGGGAGCACTGCTGTGGGAGCATTTCTGCAGGAGCATCGCCATGGGAGCAACTGCTGCGGGAATACTGCTACTAGAGCCCAGCTGCGGGAGCCTCGCTGTGAGAGCATCACTGCAGGAGCAGAGGTGTGGAAGCTGAGCAGCCAGAATCTCCACCTCCATCCTCACCTCCACTGATGGCAGGCAGCCGGGCATAGTCTGCCACCTGAGGCAGCTGGCAGGAGCTCTGTCCAAGGTCTACATACCTGGAGGTTTAGGCTAGGACATTCCCTGTGCCCTTCCTGCATTCTCTCCCTAGCATTAGTTCATTGTTGAATTGAGACTCAACCAACAGTCGTGTTTCTTCAAGGCTAGCTCGGGGCAGATTAACTTGGGGACAGGATAGGGGTGGGTTGGAGTGAGGGTAGTGAAACTATCCGGTGTAGGAAGGCTCTGGGGTGTGGAGAGGGAGGTGAAGAAGACCAGAAATTGGCTGCTGTCTTTAGACCATCAATACCGTTGTGACTAATTGAAAATGAAAACATTATTCTTATTCCCCACCCAATCTCAGTGAACTTTTTAGGTAATTATTTTGTAAACAATTTTTGTATTGTGAAAGTGTTCACTTTTTCTTTTCAGTTTCTAAAGAAATGTAGTTGTTGATTTCCTTACTGGATACAGCCATAGTGAGCCCTCATGGAGTCTTGGGGCTCCCTCAGGAAGGTCACCTTGTCCCTGCCCTCTCCTCTTCTGTAGGATTTTCCTTGCCCAGACCCAGGGACAGTTGGCTCTGAGTTTTCTCTACAAAAGATTTCCAGATCTGAGAGCAAGAAGGTTTGACTGTGTGGCTCCTGGTTTTCTTACACACTGTGTCATATGCCCTTCAGTTTAGTGCTGTGGGTTGCCTTTGGCTCGCGGTTGCCAGTGTCGCACTTGTTCTGACTCCACACAGTTGCATCTTGAAGCCACAGAAGCCCTTTAGTCATTGCTTTTTATGTCTATGTTCAGCAGCCCAGGGTGGCCCCCTGGAGCAGCCTGTCCTGGTGAGTGTGCTGGGCTGGGAGGCTCCCACGAGGGGTCTGCTGGTGTGCTGTTGGCCATGTGGTGTGAGGCTCCGGGCCCTTCCGTATGCCTCCCCAGGCTGCAAGGCACAGACGAGCACAACATGGACAGTGTCCCCTCCCATGCAAACACGTTTGTCTCACACTGCCTGCTGTTTAGAAACATGAGGTGGGTGTGAATGGATAGCTAAGTCCTCAGTCTTCTACGCCAAGTCACATAATGATTTGCAGTCTTTTTTAAAAAATCAGTCTTACAACAAATATCAGGTAATTTATTTTTTCCATATTCACATGCAAACGTTAGCTTAGGAGTCTCTTAGGTAGCCTGAAGGACTTTTGAGTTTGCTTCTAAAATTCCATTAAAATTGGGGATGAGGAGCTCAAAAATTTTTTAGATAAATTGATCCAAGACTGAAAAGGACCCTTGGAATCATTTGCAGAGACAAAGGCTGTAGCATGAGTTCCTGCTGCCCTGCCCCTCACTGGGTCAGCAACTGAAGGGATAGAACCAGTGAGAGTAAAAAAACATTTGTTCAGCTTGAGCTTAGATTTAATTAAGCCTTTGGAGAGGTTTCTGCTGCTGCCACTTCTGTCTACGACCGTGGGCAGAATTGTGCATTTTCCAGTTTATTTTCTGGGAGATTGTGCAGGAAATACTAAAGTCACTGGGATATGCTTTTTAAATGCCGGTTCCCTTAGGATGTTACCCAGACCACCTTTCTCTGTGTCTTCCTACCAGGTCTCGCTGCATAATCCATTTGAGGAAGGCACAGTGGAACCTGTGTTTCTATGTAGTGTGTGTCCTCATTGCCCTCACCACCCTATTAATTGTTGAATCGAAATATGCAAGACCCAGCTTGCTTCTGAAATGATTAGGGCCTGCCTTCTCCTGCCAGTAACTCTTGGCTCAGGTGACATAAGCATCTTTCAAAATGAACCTCTAATGTCCTAGGAAACAATGTTACCACTAAAATTTGGTCTTGGTCAGCGTTGCCATCTTTACTGTATGAAAGCAAATTGTCACTAGAAAGATAGGTAGGATAATTTTTTTCCCAAGAAGCAAGAATTGATTGATTTCATTGGAACATTCAAACTTCTGGAAACTGTTCACAGTATATTGTTTTTAACCAACATTTATATCTAATGGATTATTTTTTCTCTCATCATGCCATAATGGAAAACTTTCTGTCTGAGTCAGTGCCAGAGTGATGTGAAATAATGTGACATGTTAGAATGACATGCAACAGTATGACTGTGTTCTGTGAACAATGGTATTTGGCCGAGATCAGAACCCATGCACACAGCCTTCTGCCATGGCTGTGGAGGTGTGCCTGTGATTTGTTTTAACACTATACTCAATACCACCACACTGAGAACGATGGCATGTTCTCTTTCCATAAGATTGATGAAGTGCTGAATCTGTCAAACGTGGCATTTCAAGTTGAAACAAACAGGTGTTTGCCTACCTACTAAGCGCATGCATCATGGTTAGGTACGTGTCTTATGTGAACCTAGCTCTTGGGAGAGCAAAGATTTTACATTGGCTAAGAAAGAATTTCCAAGAATGGAGCTTCATCTACTTTGCTGTCCTTTAAGGCCTCATGGTAGGAACCTTGGTAAGGCTCTGCCTGAACAAACAACCTTGATCTGGATGAAGGCTGAAAGCTAGGGAAGGCTGTGCGGTGTTTGCAAGAGACTGGCCCAGTGATAGGGAGGAAGGAAATCCCAGGTTCCTGTAGCTGGGAATTCTGCTTTACTGACATGGTAACTTGGGACAGGTCAGACCCCACCCTCACTGCGATGAGTATAACATGGCTCCTCTTACCCCACCTCTTCCTACAAGTAAATGTGGGTACTTGAAAACAGTCTTTTTCTGAAATTGCCATGAATGATTAAAAGAAATAATTCAACTCAAGACTTAACAAGTGAATATCTAGTGTATTTTCTCTGAATAAAATATTAGTACTGTGCTATCAAATTTCATGGAACTGTACATGTTTTGGTAAAGCCACCTAATGAAAACTTTCTCTTGGTAACATAAATGAAGGGTGCACTGTGTGTGAAGTTATTTAAATATATAGTCCACCATTGTGTAATTTTAATAGTTTTTTAAATATTTGATTTTATGGGGACATTTTTGTGGGATAATTGGAGTTAACTTAAATATAGATGTTGTGTCTAGTTTAATGGGATAACATTTTTTAGTTTAAATTCATGTTTGCCTTGCCTTGATGTAGTGAGAAGAGATCTTAATCAGGACTTTGTTAATTATTTGAGTTCAAGCAAATTAGGCTCATTAACTCAGGTCATTATTGATATTTTAAAGTATCTGGAGGATACCAATTTCTCTTTTATTATGTGGTCTTTGACCCCTTGATGTAACACAGAAAGGACACTGCTGGGTGGCCGTGAGTCAGTGAGCCAAGTAGATCTCTCCCCCTCAAGGTATGCTGACAATTTATAAAAACAAACCACAAACTCAGCTTTAAGCAGCTGCTTGCTCTCCATAAAGTTTAAACAGCGTGGTCATTTTGCAAGCAGGAGGCTATCTCCTGAGTCTATCTCAATTACCTAGCAACACAGAAGCCAAATGTGGAAGATTTAAGTAGACTACAAGTGAGGGTATGAGCAAAGGCCTTCATCCCATCTGTAATTTATGCATTGCCTTACTTGTCACAATTTAGATTTCCAGAGAAATGGGCATAATTCCTCTCCAGAATGAAAGTATCAGAATATATTAATCTAAGGGCAACAATTTGAGAAAGTTTGTCAAGTATGACGCTTTCTAACCACTTATCCTTGGTGTAAGGTAAACAGAAAAATGAAGAAAAATGTTAGAATTTTAAAGAAATTATGTACTTAAAAAAACTTTCTTTATAAAAACAATTGTATTTTACTGTTATTCTGTTCCATTAAATGCAACACAAGTCCAGGTGCTGTCCTTGCTTGGGAAAAAGGGCTCTGTGTCTCCAGAGCCCTATGCACCCGGACTGAACTGAGAATGAATTTCCTGGTACTGTAATGAAAATAAGGTCTGCTCAACACAATAAACTTTTCCTTCTCTTCTTTCAAGCTGTCTGGTCAGTGATTCAGCTTTTAAGTTTAGTAAGGGCAGGTTGTTAGAGCTCAAAGTTCTATTCCTGCATCTGACAAAAAAGCAGGGCAGGACAGGACAGGAAGGAGAGCTCTTTTTACCTGAACTTCTTACCTGAGGATGGAGCTGGGGCCAGTTCTCTGGAGTCTCAGGAAAGCAAGCACCCCTGCCTCTTGCAGGTCCCCAGCCTTGGAAAACTGCCGAGGCAGGATCTGGCAACAAGCTGCCCCATCAGCACTAACACGACCAGGAAGGATAACATGCACTTTGTTCATTTGCAAATTCTCTGAGCTCCTGCTGGGACCAGGTTTGGAGCTGAAGGTGTGGGTCCTGCTGTTCAGGTTCTCACAGGACACTGCAAGCTAGTATGACTGCTTGCTGAGGTGCCAGTCAGGGAGGGAACTTAGGGCTGTGAGAATACAACAGAGGGCACCTTAAGTGTAGTAGAAGAAAGATTTATTTGGTGGTCAGGAAAAGCTCCAAGGAGGTGGTGCTTAAATTGAAGCCCGAGGAACAAGTAGGAGTTATCCATGTTGGGTGAGGGAGGTGGGGATGAAGGGAAGAACAAGAGCTAGTGTATCATTTAGGGATCTGCAAGGGAGCTTTTGTAGACAGAGTTGTGGCCAGGAGAGAGGTCCCAGAGAGGGGGTCTCAGTTTGATCCTGGGGCCACAAGAAAGCCCCTGAGGGGTTTTAAGATGGCTGCCAACATGAAATTGGGTTTTTTCTTGTAATAAATTTTTTATTGACTTATAGCACATGTAGACACAAGTATATAAACGTGCACATTGATAGATTTTTTAAGTGAACACAGTGGTGTAACCATCACCCAGATGAAGTTGGATTTTGTTTTATCTTAAATAACATGGAGACATCTGATCACAGTCTGGCTCCAGCATTGGCAAGAGCATCTTGTATCAGACTAACCCTCCTACCAATAATGATACACTCTGTTGAAATGCACTGGAAAGTAACCAGAGACAAACAAGAGCTGGAGGGGGCTCAAGCACTGGAGAAAAATGCTGGATAAGATGATATTTAAGTGACTATTCCTCATGTGGCCCACAGGGAATAAAACAAAAAGTGGCAGTCTTACTGGGCTGAGAAGCTAAGTCAGATGGTGAGCAGCTGAAACTGGAAAGGGGAAATCTCAGAAAAGAAGAAATAACAGAGCCTTGAATTTGCCTTACATATTCCCATGAAATCCTTTACTGACTCCCTAAATTATGCATGAACAGAGCAGGATTCCAAGAGGCCCAACAGAAAGTAACAACTGGAAGTTTGGGGAACTTCAACAGAGATTTCAGCAGATGTCTAGTGCTGGGGAGGGAAAGTTTGGAATTCTTGTCCCACCAAATTAGGCTTGGTAAATATTTTGGGCTTTCCATTGAAAACCTAAAGGGCCATGCTACTTTAGAATTAGAACCATATTTCAAAACTCAGGTCTAGGCCCTAATGACTAAAGGCAACACTAAAATAGATCCACTCTAATAAAGCCTATAATTGAGGCTTTAAAGAATCAAGGTGATCTGTTGGTATCTTAACTGCCTACTGAAACAAATCCCAACAGTTTTCATGGGAAAAGCATCATAGAATTTAGAGTCTACAATATGTCATTTAGAATTCCAGCATACAATCACAAATCAGGAGACAGAAGAAGAAACAGGAATACATGACATATAACCAATAAAAATTTTAAAAAACCCACAGACAACCAAGATGTAGATATTATTTAATAAGAATTTAAAAATTATAAATATGTTAAAGAACCTTGTAGAAAAGGATAGGTACAAAGGATGAAGATGTGGAGAATTTAGGGAGAGATGGAATTTTTAAATATTAATTTCAGTAGAGGATCCAAGATGGCAGAGTAGTTAAATGTTGTGCTTGCCTCCTCTTGTGACCACATTAAAATTACAATTAAATTCTAGAACAATCAACCTGGAGAATCATCTAAAATCTAGCTGAACAGAAGTTTTATAAGTAAGGATATAAAGAAGTAGACACGTCGAGACTGGTAGGAAGGGTGGAGGCCAGGCCCACACCTGCGTGTGGCAGTTGAAAATCAAGAGGAATATCTCAGCCACAGAGGACCCCCTAGAGGAGCGAGGGACCCCAGCTCCACACCAGGCTCCCCAGCCCTGAGTGCTGGTCCCGGGAAGAGGAGCCTCCACAACATGTGGCTGTGAAAAACTGGATTCCAACCAGCCGGGTGGGATGGAAGGCTGCAGGAAAACCAGACGTCCTCCTAAAGGGCCCATGCACAAACACTCACAGGCACTAACCCTGGGCTACAGTGAAGGACAGTTACTCAGGAGCAGTCAGAGACATACAGGGACAGACTGAGTTGTGTGGCTTCAGGGCAAAGACTGGAGGGACAGTCATCATTTTCCCTGTTTAGAATTCTCCTTGAAGCTGCAGGCAGATGCCTTCATTCCTGTGTTGAGCCCTTGCCCACATGGCCAAATCTGAATCTGCATTGGGCTGGTGAACTCCACTCATTCCACCCTGGGTACCCCCTAAGACCCTCATCCCACCTAACTCATGCAATGCAGGAGGCGCTTTCTTGGCAGCAAATAGCCAGCCCCATCCACATTGCACTTTTATTGGACAACCATGGACCCCAGGCAGGAGGCAGCTGGCCTTGGTGTGATCTGAGGCTCTTGCTGAGTAGCTCCAGGCTCAGCACTGCCTCCAAACCAGAACCTACATTAACCTGTTGAACAACATTCACCCCAACCTGGTGATTCACTGAGACCCTGCCTCACCCAACTCACATATCACACAACGCTCTATCAGTGGCTGAACCTTATGAGAGCTGGCAGCTGGCAGCAGGCCTTGGAGTGTCCTGGATATTTTTGGAGCTACCCTGGTACTGGTGGCAGCCATTCTTGGTTCACAGTGTGGTCTCTCCCACGTGCCTCCAGGTCCAGCACAGGGAGCAGCCAACCATGGAAAGTGTTGTAGCTCCTACCAGTTAGTCCTCGGCTGGTCACAGGCAGTGGGTGACCAGCACCTGTACTGGAGTCCCTCCCAAGAGGCCCCAGAACCAACATACCTGGAGGTTGGCTTCAGGAGAGCACCACCCAATTAGCCCCATAAGCAGCATATCTAAAGGGTGGTCTCAAGAAGCACTAGAGCCCACTGGGGTGAATCTTGTTTTGGGGGGTAAGTCACCTGCACAGTAGCCCATAAGCTGTGGATGTGGCCAAACCCCAGAGCCAGTCATGCTGAGGGTCATCCCACCCACTGACATGCCAATAGCAATCAAAGCCCAAGTACAACAGGAGGGCACAGAACCCACACAAGGGTCACTTCTGGAGCACCCGGAGAAGGTGACCAGAGAGACTATGCCACTGGGCCCCCACAGGACACCTACTACATAAAGTCACCCTGCCCCACCTAATACATAGAATCAAACACAGACAGGCAGATCAAAATGAGGAGACAAAGAAACATGTCCCAAAAGAATGAACAGGGCAAAACTCCAGGAAAACAAACTAAATGAAAAGGAGGCAAGGAATCTACCAGATACCGAGTTCAAAACACTAGTTATAAGGATGCTCAATGATCTCAATGAGAACTTCAAAAAACAGATAGGAAACATAAAAATGGAGATGGAAAACATAAAAAAAGAACCAGTCAGAAATGAAGAATACAATAACTGAAATGAAGAATACAACAATTGAAATGAAGAATGCACTAGAAAGAATCACCAACAGGCTAGATGAGGCAGAGAATCAAATCAGTGATTTGAAAGACAAGGAAACAGAAAACACCCAATCAGAACAGCAAAAAGAAAAAAGAATCCAAAAACATGAGGATAGTTCAAGGGGCTTCTGGAAAAACATCAAGCATAACAACATTCATATCATAGGAGTACCAGAAGGAGAAGAAAGAAAGTGAGGGATTGAGAACCTATTTGAAGAAATAATGACAGAAAACTTTCCTAACCTGGTGAAGGAAATAGTCATACAAGCCTAGGAAGTGCAGAGTCCCAAACAAGATAAACCCAAAGATGCCCACATTAAGACACTTCATAAGTAAAATGCCAAAGTTTAAAGACAAAGAGAGAATCTTAAGAGCAAAAAGAGAAAGAAAACTAATTACCTGCCGAGGCCCGCTCAGCTTCCAGTGGCCACCTGGTGCGCACAAGCCAGGTACCTAGAGGGCCCCTGAGTGGACTGGGTGGGAGATTGAGAAATGGAAGAATTAAGTAGAGATGAAAGGCACAGAAACAAAAGCTGGGATCAGGAGGGACACTCTGTCATGGGTGGCGGAGAGAGTGCCACTGTTTATTGGATACACATTGATTATATAGAAAGCAACTTCCCCTTTTGCAAAGGAAAATTCCCTTACAGCATAGGGGATTTTGGCAGGGGGTTTTTTGGGGAATGGGGGACCAATGTTGCTGACGTAAGGGTTTGGAAGTGAGATAATCTCTTGGCAACAAGTTACATGATTACACAGCATAGACTAATGATATATTTTAAGTAAGGTTAAAGTGAGGCAAATAGAAACTGTCAGCAAGTCCATGGTGGAAAGTTCCAAAGTACATGAGTCCATAATTAGACAGTGACATCTGAGGGTCTGGTGGTTTCAGTTCAGGGACTTCTGCTTTTCCATGGCACAGGAGATGAACTGAGCTGTTTCTCCAGCAGTTCCTCTTTTTGCTGTTTACCCAACATGAAGTTTTGCAGCCTTTTCCTCAGCACACAGAACATGGGGGTCTGTAGCCACCTGCCATTCTCCACTTGTAATCAGCCTGCAGTCTCACTACTCTAAGACGGCTCCCAACAGTTACCTACAAGGGAGCTCCCACAAGATCGTCAGTTGATTTCTCAACAGAAGCTTTGCAAGCCAGAAGGTATTGGCATGAAATATTCAATGTGATGAAAAGCAAGGACCTCAACCAAGATAACTTTACCCAACAAGGCTATTTTTTAAAATTGAAGGAGAGATAAAGAGCTTCCCAGACA